GTACCCCACTGGTGCAGGAGGGCCCCCAGCCAGCACCTGGTCTCCTTCCTCTCATAGAAGGGAGAGGCTGAGCAGTCGTTTGTCCAGGCCCAGGGGCCAGCTAGCGGCAGAGCCAGAGCCAGATTCCAGAGCGTCTGGGCCAGCGCGTCAGAGGCTCCAGAGCATGGCCTGCTCCCAGAGCCCAGCGTGCTCACTCTCGGCACCCAGCAGTCACGTTTTCAGCTTCAGGCTTTTGGAAGCCCCAAGCTCAGGCTGTAGCCGGAGCAAGGACAGGGAATCGTGTCCTCTCTCCCCTCAGGCCAAGTCAGCAGATTCTGGGAGATCCTGCTTCTCCGCCAGCTCCCTGGGTACACAAGGGACCAGGAACCAGAATGCCTGACTCCTGATCCCGAGCCCTGTCCTCTCTAGACATCAGTTTCCCCTTTCCCTCAGTAGTAGTAGTGGCCCCTACTGAGCTCTGTGCCAGACTGCACATAGTAGGCCCTCATTTAATGCTCATGCCAGCCCTGTCCAGCAGGTCATTTTTCATTCCCATTTTCTAGGTAGAAAACCATGGTTCAGCAGTAGAGGCGCTCAGAGTCACAGATGTAGGCAGCACCTGGGCACTACCCTGGGTGGTGGTGAAGAGGTAAATGAGGCTGCGTAGATGCCCAGAGAATCAGCTCATTCTAGAGCGAGAGCCAGGCACCCTTGGGGCAGGACGTGCAGCCCCTTGGTGCTCAGAACTGTGCTAGATTCCCATTTCTAGTATGGATAGGTAGTGTCCTTTTTTTTTTTTTTCAGACAGTCTCACTCTGTTGCCCAGGTTAGAGTGGTTAGAGTGCCATGGCGTCAGCCTCAATCACAGCAACCTCAAACTCCTGGGCTCAAGCAATTCTGCTGCCTCAGCCTCCCGAGTAGCTGGGACTACAGGCATGTGCCACCATGCCCGGCTAATTTTCTATTTTTAGTAGAGACAGAGTCTCTCTCTTGCTCAGGCTGGTCTCAAACTCCTGAGCTCAAACGATCCTCCCGCCTCAGCCTCCCAGAGTGCTAGGATTACAGGTGTGAACCACCACACCCTGCTGGTAGTGTCATTTTTAAATAAATGTGCAGGAGTTTTTAGAAGTGAGTTAATTTAAATAAAAATGATAGTCCATCCAAGTCAGCCACCATGGTCCCCACCTGTCATCCTACCAGTTTGGGAGGCTGAAGCAGGAGGCCAAGAGTTTGACATCAGCCTGAGGAACATAACAAGACTCTGCCTCTACAAAAAAAAATTTAAAAATTGGCCAGGCGTGGTGGGGTGTGCCTGTAGTCCCAGTTAATTGGGAGGCTGAGGCAGGAGGATCACTTGAGCCTAGGAGTTCAAGGCTGCAGTGAGTTATGATCATGCCACTGTACTGTAGCCCTGGCAACAGAGTGGGACCCTGTCTCAAAAAAAAAAAAAAATAGTACCTGTCCATATGGTCTATGGATGGGACAGAAGTCATGAGGCTGGCCTCCGAGGGGCAGGCATGCTGGCCTTGGGATGGTCACCATGGCATGGCTCCCCGTGGTGTGGGCAGAGCTGGCAGGATGCGGTGTAGGGTCCCTGGAGCCCTGCCCCAGGGTGCCTCCTGACATTGATGCCAACACTTAAGACCACCATCTGTTGCTCAGGAAGTTTACCTTCTTCCCTCAGAAAAAAAAGATAAGGATAAAAAGGAAAAGAAGAAGAAAGCAAAAAAGACCTCAACCAAAGACCCTGAATTACCATTCCAGAAGAAAAAGAAGAAAAAGGTAGAGTGATTTGGGGGTGGAGGGGGGGGTCCTCAGGCCAGAAAAGGAACCCAAACCGAGTCCCCAGGGTGAATGTTAGCTCTTGCCACATGCCGGATCCAGTCTCTGCTCACTTTCCGTGCTGTGGGTCTGGTGGGGGCCCGCGTGAGTTGTGACACACTAGGAAAGAGGCATGTCCCCTCCTCTGAGCATGTGGAAGTGTCTTGTGTGTGAGGAAGAAGGGTGTTGGGACGGGGGCGGGGCGAGGAGAGGTCCCAGGGACAGGGAGACCAGTAGGCTCCTGCATTTTGCAGGTGAGAGGAGACCCTACCTGGGCTGTGTCCCGCCTGGCAGGGTTTCCCACTGGAGGAACACGTGCGCGTGTCCACGGCATGGGTGGCAAAGCCTGGTGCTCTGAACGGGGGCTGCCTTTCCAGCCCGGGGCCCGGCACCGTAGGCGCAGCTGAAGTCACCTTGGCCGGCAGGGTTGCAGCTGTGTTCAGAGCTGAACACCTCTCGCTGCGAGCCCTGGGCTCCTTCCTGGAGGACACGTGAGGCACTGCCTTGCCCTCCAGGGTCCCTGCAGTCCCCGTGTCTGTTCTGGGGGAGCCGCCAGTACTCAGGAGGTGGGGGCAGCAGCGGGTGGGAGGAGCTGCAGGTCTGAGCCGCTCACACTTCTCTCCTCGCAGAAGAAGACAGCAGAGCTGACCGTGTGAGGGCGCAGGCACCAGGCGCAGGTACGCGTCCAGGCCATCCCTGGGCATCCGGGGTGGGAGGGCAGCTCTGGCAGCCCCAGAGAGCCAGGCGGACCTCATCGGTGGGAAAGGGGTTCCATTCCTGTGGGGCCCGTGGGCTGATACCTGGAGCTGGCACTGCAGCAGCAGAAGGATCCAGAACTGTAAGGGCAACGATCAGTGCCAAGTGTACCCTAAGTGAAGGCGCCGTGCTTGCCTTAGCGGGTGGTTTCTCTCCTTACCATCCTGTAACCTGGGGACATTCCTCTCGGGAAGGAAGGTGGTTTGCTGGGGATGAGCCATCATAATGATCTGCTTGGCTATGGAGGAAAGGCCCCGCCAGGTGGTGGTGACAGAGTTAGCTGCTCCACTGGCTGTGCTGGCCCGTGTCCCCCAGCCTCCTGTAAATGGGGGTTCACACAGAACCTGCCCCCTGGGCTGGTGGTAGGGCTCACGCAGCGCTGAACACTGAAGCGCTCAGCCCAATTCCCAGGGCGTGCTAAGCGCTAAACAGTGGCCACTGTGGTTAGTGAATGCCCCTCCCCTGCATTGGAGATGCCAAGTTTGATTGTCCTTGATGGAGGAAAAGGTCAAAAAATCTTACATCTGAATGTGTTTCCTTCCCCCAGGGATCTCTTAGCCGAGTGGTGACCATCCCATGCCTCTGACCTTGGCCTACCTCTGCCCGCCATGGGTTGGAACTGAATTTTTAACTTCCCTTCCCTGAGAAGAAGACAGCCAGCTGCAGGTCCCCGTGCTGGCCAAGCCAGCAAGCCTGCAGGGAGGCTGGTCCCAGAAGAAAGTGGGCCCAGCTTCTGCGACCTTGATCCCACCTGCCCCAGCACAGGGCGCTTCGTATAGATGTGTACAGTATATATATTTTTTTAAATGACACACCTCTCCCCTGGCAAACCCCAAATGCCCAAGGCCTCGGGACTTTGGCCCCCAAGGAAGTCTCTGCAGACCCAGCTAGGCCCGACCTGCAGCTCGTGTCCTGCCATGTGGTCTCTGGCTCATCCCGAGGCTTTGTCCTCCTTTTGTCAGTTTTTTCGGTTGTGTTGGCTTTTTTTTTTTTTTTTTTAACTCAGAAAATAAAAGACTTGAGGGAGATGTGCAAGTTCCGGTGCATCTGGGGCAAACGCGTTGCAGTGGCTTGCTCTTGGAACGGGCAGTCTGGCCAGCGCCCAGGATTCCTTCTTGACTGCATATCTAGGCTCTGGGATTCTGTGGCAGCTGGGACAGGCAGTTTGCCAGAGAAAGACAGGGGAGGCCCCCAGGGTCCTGCATGGGTGGGGAAGGCATCCTGGAAGAGGTGGCATTTGAGCTAAAGGAGAACTGAAGGAGGGTCACGGTTGGCTTCCGAATCCAGAGTAGGTCATGCAAACACCCAGAGGCAAAAACTGGAAGGGGACATCAGAAGCCACCTAGGGGGCCGGCTTTGGAGGCGCGTGGGGGAGGGTAGCTGTGGCAGGCACAGCAACAGCAGGAAAGCCCGGGAGGAGTAGCGCTGGTTCTGCGGTGGCGAGGGCGAGATGGGGATGAGCTGGAAAGACATGTCAGGTGATGTCCACAGGACTTGGCGGTGGCTTGGGTGTGGATGGAGCTGGCTAGGGGGTAGCAAAGGGTGTCTCTTGCTGTTCCAGCCTGAAAATGCAAAGGCTCGCTTCCCTGGGCCCAGAGCAGTATGGAGTTACCAGAGGTCCTGGAGATTTCTCTCCAAAGCTCTTAGCTCCTTGCTAGAGACGGCCGGGGCAGTGCAGAGAAAGAATGCTGGGCTGGGGGCAGTGCAGAGAAAGAATGCTGGGCTGGAGACCCCGCTCGCTTCCAGCTGCGCCCTCGACCCAGGGCCGTAGGCCGGGCCCTCCCCGCCGTAGCCTCTCCCTGCGAGCCTGCTGGTCTGGAACAGAGGCTGCAGAGTAGTGTCCTCACTGACTCATAGTAAGTCTTTAAACTTAAAAATGGAGCAATTTCACTGACATTCTGGATTTCTGGCTCCTCTCGAAAGGTCAACAAATCTGGCAACAGGGCCTGCACTTTCTCCCGGCAGCAGCCGGTGAGAGCTGAAGAGCAGCCGGCCCCTCGGGCGGGCATGGGCACCCGGTTCTGCACAGTCCCCCACTTCCTGTCCGTCCCTGACACGGGGGCCCCACGTCGGTTGCCATCTGTTATCCCACTCGAACCGTTCTTAGTATAGAAAATGAAATTGGGGACATGGGAAAATGAAAGCTTGACCAAGAGGAACTTGTGCTTAAAACACTGTAGGCAAGAGCCTATTTCTTTTTGGGAGTGAGGAGAGTGTGTGTGTGTTGTGTATGTGTGTGTGTATGTGTGTGTATGTGTGTGTGTGTGTGTGTGTGTGTGTGTAACATGCAGCCAGATATGTCTGTCCAAAGACTACAGCCCCATGGACATCTCTGTCTGGGCTCCCTGGGCTGCGTTCTCCCACCAGATGACTGAATTTGGGGCCTTTGTGTATCTCCTTGGGGCAAACAATCCAGATACCAACGGAAGAGCCAAGAGCCAGAGTGTTCTACTCACTACCTTTTATTGTTACTTGAGCCGTGGCCCTGAGGGTGATGACAAGCTGGCTGAGCAGAGGGCACTCGGGTTGGCAGAGAGTGAGGAGGGTTGTGGGTGGAGAGGCTGAGCTCTCCTTGGGGAGTGATGCCAGGGAGAGGGGAGAGGGTAGCTCATCCAGGCTGGAAAAGCTGAGGCCAGAGGGGACAGGTGGGCAGCAAATGTGTCCAGCCTGGGGTTGGGGGTAGGGTTGTCCCTTTTCCCTGTGCCTTTCCACCTCGTCCATGGGATCTCAGAGCCCCATGTTGGAGGCTGCTGTGATGTCAGGAATGGGGGTCTACCTAGCTTTCAGTCCACCTCAGGCTTTGTGTCTCTGTTGACAGGTGAGGGTTGGGCAGCAGGGCCCTGCTGCCTCTGTGCTGTTGTGACTTGATTTGTCATGTCCGAGGAAGACGGAGAGCCAGGCGCTAGAGTCTCATGGAATGAGGGGCAGGGTGGCAGGGTGGCAGGGTGGGAAGTGAGGGAGGGGCTAGAGTTGGGGGGCAGAGGGGAACAAGAAAGCTGTGGTCGCGCAGGGCTGGCTGGGTACTGGAGACCGCCTCTGTTGTTCTCACACCACGACTGTGGAGAGGGAAGCAGCAAGTTGAGGTTGGGGTCACCCGTTCATTGTCCCTGCCCCTTCCCAGCATCCTGGGTCTGCAGAGTCTAGGCCTGTCCACCCTCCACTGCCCCCTGTTCGAGGACAAATACCTTCATGGATTCACGTACCCCCCACAACCCTGTTCCTCATCTATGCATTGGTTTTGCCAAGGATGTCAGGGAACGGCTGGGGTCATGCTCCCTCTTCTGCCAGCGAGGGAACCGGCCCCGCTGGGGATCAGCTGCTGGCCACCAGATCCCTCTCTGCAGGGCCCTTACCTAGGTTCGGCTCCAGCTTGGTCAGGCCCAGCCCGGAAGACAGGTCCTCCATGTCCTGTGGCTCTGCAAAGGAGCAGTGAATCCATCATTCCCTGCGGTGCCACCTGCCCCACCCAAGGTGCCTGAGGGCAGTTCCCACACTAGCGCAGCTTAGTGCCTGGAAAAGCAGGCCGGGAAGGAAGCCCCTGCAGCTGCAAGGAAGAGGTGTGGTTGGGGGCTCTGGAGAGCAAGGCCAAGGAAGGCGGTGATGAAAGGAGACGTGCAGATCTGTAGGACTCCTGGATGCAGGAGGATGGTGCGTGGAAGAACGAAGATCACAGATGAAAGGTTGGAGGATAAATGAACAAATGAGGTCGACAAGCGTGGATGTGAGACAAGACGAGGAATGCGCTGGTGAGTGGATGGACAAAGGGCTAGACGCATGCTGACGGTGGCTGTCCCCCGGGAGCTGCCATTCCAAGTGTCCTGGTCCCATGTGCTCCAGAGGGGACCTCTTGCCCTTCAACCTTCCTAGTCCTGTCTGGTCCTCCGACTCTCGCTAGCACAGTGGCCACTGCTTACCACTGCAGTTATGGTGCCCGCGGCTCCTGGTGTGGGGGACCTCGGTGCCGTTGGGGAAGACGCACCAGCAGTAGCCGATGCTCCCATAGCACTGGAGCGGCATATAGTTGCCGTTCTCGTCGCACTTGGGACGGAACATGCCTGGGTGGACGGCAGGGATGCGGCTGACCTCTTCCTGGCACTTGGTCAGTGCTGAAGCGACAGGCATGATGAAGACACAGTGAGTGAGTGGGCTCTGGACTGCAGTCTCAGCAGAGCCAGAGACACACACACCACTGCTGTGGGCCTAATGCCTTCTGCCCAAGTAGCTTTACTCACTCTACCCATTACACAGATGGGAAAGCTGAGGCCTGAGGCCTAGCCCAACAAGGTCCAAGATCAAAGAGGACGTGAATGGCAATGTGTCTGATTCACTCCAGAATTTGACAATTTCTTCTGATACTTAAAGCCCATCAAAATTTGGAATTGTACCTGATTATGATTTCTAGAGAAAAGCAATGGATGCCTTGGTGTGTCTGCTTCCTGTTACTGGGAGTTCCCAAGTAGAAATGGGGTTACCATTTGTCGTGGAGGGGATCCAAGCATCAGCTGGGAGCTGACCGGGATAACATGTGAGGTGCCTTCTCTGAACCTCATGGAGAAATGGAGGCCCAGGGCAGGGTGGGCCTCTGACCTCCACTTCAGGACACGGAAGCCCAGGGAAGAGACTTGCCCAGAGTTGCACAGCTACTTGGAGGCAGCACCAGGATGAAAACAGCGCTTTGTGTTGGACCATAGCAGCATTTTAAAAAAAGCAGGGGGGTGGGGGTTGCAGTTTAGGCCTTGAACATCCTGGTATACGTTCTCCATGAGGTGGGAAATGCCAAGGCCCCCTTTACTCTCTGTCTGTGCGAACTCAGCCCCTCACTGCAGTTGTGGGACTAGTGTTGGGAAAGGCAATTACAAAGGTTCCTGCCTGGTGGGTTTCAGGCTGGGTTTGCTCCAGGCCGCCTTGTGCGGTGCCATACTCCACTCACGAGGGGAGGCCTCTACCCGTGGGCCCTTACAGCGAACACGCAAGAGCAGATCACAGACAAGACGGGGCCCAGGGGGCAGCAAACCAAGAAGGGACAGGAAGGAGGGACAGATGTGAAAGCGGAGAGAGGATGGGAGGTTCCCACGGTGCTTCGGTCAGGGAGTGCCGAAGGCCCAGCGGCTGCAGCTGCAGGAGAGCTCTGAAGGAGCTCCCAGAAGCCCTGGCACCCCAAAGCTCCCCGCTCCCTGTACCTTTTGGCGGGACCTCAGTGGGCTTTTCCTCCATGGAGTTCTTGCTTAGCTCAAACAGGAGCCACTGGTGCATCCAGCTCTCAAAGACCTAACGGGGCAGAGGTTGGGGGTCAGGCTCAGTAGCCTTCACCAAGCCCCTGCCCTGCCTGGCTTTGCCCCTGGGGACAGAAAGAGAGGGCCAGACTGGGGCCCAAACCCAGGGTCCCGCTGCAGCCTGGTTCCCCCTTAAAGACCCAAGGGAGTTGTCCAGGTATTTCCTCAACTTCAAGCCCTCCTAGCTGCCTGGGGCTTTGTGAGTCCTGGAAGCCCCTCCAGCTTCCTGAGAATGGCTTCCTCAGCCCGCCTCTTCCCAGCCTTGCCCGGGACTTTGGGAGAAAGAGGGTTCCAGTACAGAGAACCTGCTGACCTTCCAGTCCAGGCCCTCCATGGTGCTCTTGAGGTGTTTCAGGTTCTCTGGGAAGCTCCCCTTCAGCTGCGGGTACACCTTCAGGGGGTCGGCCCTCTGCAGGGTGGCAGGGCAGGAAGCATGGTTAAAAAGAGCTCCCCGGCAGGCAAGGTGAAATGTGTAGGCTGTATTCCCCTGGCTCTCCATTCTGAGGAGTGGACCCGAGCTGCACCAAGCCTGGACCCTGGACCTCAGCCATGAGGAGAGGGGCAGGGTAAGGGCAGTTCAGTTGCACAGCCACAAGACCCAGGGCCAGCTCTACCAGTAACCCTCAGGCTTCTCCCTGCAGATACCTACTCATCTTTCAGGTCTCCTCCAGGAAGACTTCCTTGGCTGTTCCAAGCTAGATTGGGTCCTCTGCCTCTTTCCTCACAAAGCCCCCTGCACCTCCCTCATCACCTAGTCGCTTGTCTGTCTCCCACGCTAGCCTGAGATCCCTGTGGCTTCAGGGGCTGGGGCCAGTCCCTGGCAGAGTAGACAAGTAGTAAAAGTTTAGGAAGGACAAAAGGGGTGTCTTGCTTAAGGCACTTTCAAGCTTTTGGCCTCAGTTTCTCCATCTCAAACACGAGGGGAGGCTGGAATCCATATAACATTTAAAGGCCACCGTTGCTTTCCTTCAACAATCCAGAGAGCACGTGCTGAAGTCTACATGAGCCAGGTGTGGTGGAGGCTTGGGAGATCGCCTTGCCGGGGCCCTGTGGGGGCTGCAGGGCCGCCTGGCTGGCTCTCCCTCACTTACCAGGAGCAGGTGCATCACATGGTCCTGTGTCATGTTGCCGTATTTGGTGGCATTCTGCTTAGGCTGTGGGAGGAAGGAACAGAGAGTTACCAGCACTGGCCTCGGAGGAGGGCGTGTAGAGTGGGAGCCCACGGCTGGGGTCTGGGTAAGAGCCTGCAGTTCCGGGCACTCGATGGGCCCATCTCTGCCGCTTCCAAACATGAGTGTGAGCAAGTCACTTTACCTTCCTGCCTCAATGCCCTCACTGGTCAAACTGGCATAAGCTTTCCTGCCCAGGGCTTTGTCAACAGCAGTTTTGTGAACAGAAAAACTGACGTGTGTGATATCAAGGGCCTTGGGAGTGGGCGGGGACAGTAAGATGCTATGGGAAGTGAGAAGCACTTTGTAAACTGTAGAGGGCTGGGCTTCCTCCCAGGGCTGGCCCCAAGAGGCTCTTTGTCTGTGGGGTACCCTCTCCTTCCTGAGGGGCGCCCTACTCCTCCCCAGCAATCAGGACCCCCCCAGCTAGGCTCTTCCTAGAGAACCTCCCTGCCCCCACCCCCAGCACCTGTCCTCCATGCAGACTAGACAGCATGTCCCCTCCCAGCGCCCAGGCTGTCCTTACCCCCTGGGGCAGGCCTTCCATGGGCAGCGCCTGCATCATCAAGGGGGTGGCCATGCGCATCTTGCTCATAGGCTTGGGAGCTGTGGGGACAGGGAGCACAACTTGGGTGTGGTGCTGGTGCCCAGGGAGAAGGGCATCCAGGTCCAGGGGCTGAGATCCCAGACCCAAGTGAGGGGCTGGAATTTCAGACTAGAGGCAGAGGACAGTGGGCCCAGTGGGTACAAGAGTGGGGTCTCCAAGGTGAGGGACAGCGGGGTGGGCGGGGGATGCCAGGAAGGAGGTGGGGCACGCACGCTTGGGAAGCTTCATGCGCAGGCTCTCCAGCTGCAGGTTCTGCGAGGTGACCGTCAGCTTGTCCAGCCGGCCCTGCTGCTGGTACAGGAAGTAGGCGGTGGTGGCCTGGCCCGCCAGGAGCAGAGCCACCAGGACAGAAAAGCCTGTGTACAGCGCTCCGCGGTTGCAATTCCTGGTGGGGGTTGGGGGGAAGGGTTAGAGGAGAATCCCCTGATGTGGCTGCCCCAGGAGTTGGCTGGGAGTGGAGGAGCGTACCCCCCTCTCCTTCAGCCCCCTAAGGCACCCCTAACAATCACACGTTAAGCTGGCTACGGGAATGCAGCTTGAAGTCATTCCCTAATCCCCCGTTCCAACCACTAACGTGCCGAAGTCCTCCCAATAGAAACCCTATAGCTCTGCCCACCCACCCCCCGGGCCTAGACTAAATAGAGACCAGTTCCTTGTCCTCTCTGGGCCTTGGTGTCCTGCCTGTGCAATGAGGGGTTGAGACGCAGGGTCTCCCCAGGTCCCCATTGCCGTGGGGATCTCCTGAGGATCAGGACTGCCTTCAAGGGGAAGGAATTTTGTTTGGGGGGCTTTTTGTTTTTTGAGATAGGGTCTTGCTCTGTCACCTGGGCTAGAGTGCAGTAGCGTCATTCTAGCTCACTGCAACCTCAAACTCCTGGGTTCAGGCGATCCTCCTGCCTCAGCCTCCCGAGTAGCAGGGACTACAGGTGCATGCCACCATGCTTGGCTAATTTTTCTATTTTTTATGGAGATGGGATCTCCGCTCTTGTTCAGGTTGGTCTTTATCTGGCCTCAAGCAATCCTCCCACCTCAGCCTCCCAAAGTGATAGGAATACAGGCATAAGCCACCGTGCCCAGCCTTGTTTTATTTTTTAATTGACTTTAAAAAATTGTATATACTTACAGTTTAAGGACAAAGGGGGTTTTTACCCCGCTACCTAACCACCACCACCACCACCCGCCCTTCCCCCCACCCCCGCGCCCCCCAGGCTGTGGAATCAGATTTAAGGAGAAAGGGGAAGGAAGTAGGACCAGGACAGCAGAGCGTGTGGCCCACCTGAAAAGGAGAAGTGGGCTTGACATTTTGGGGGTGGGGGTGGGGGAACGCTGGACCATGTCGCTGGAGCAGGCCAGGCACCACCCCCTCCGTGGCACATCCTCTGTCCCAGACTCTTCACGTGTCTTTGAGCAAGTCCCTGCCAGTCTCCACACCTCTATTCCCTTGTCTCTCACACGGGTACCCCTCACCCCCGCGATTCTAGGATTTGGTGCTTTCTTCTTTGAAGCCAGACCTCACTGTGACCACAGAAGTTCTCAAATGGTAATATCCACACAGTGTGGGGCAGGTTTCCACAGGAGTATAGATGCCTGTGTGACTTTCTCACTCTCTCTCTGGGCTCTCTGGGCTTGCCGTGTGCACGATGAGGGGTGGCCAGACCTCAGGGGTCCTTGTAGCTGTGGGTACTGGATGCCGTTTGGGGCACATGTGCATGTTACAGTATGGAGGATGTAAGGATCCCAGGACCCTCAGAGTTCCTGACCTGTTTCTCAGCCTACCCCAGCAGAGGGGCCACTAGGACGCTGCTATGGCTAGAATGTGCCCCCTCCAAAATTCAGGTGTTGCCATGGTGGTGCTATTGAGGGGCAATTGGGCTGTGAGGGTTCCTTTGTCATGAATGGAATTAGGTGCCCTCCCAAGGGGGTTTGATGGAGGAGTTGGTTCTCTCTTGCCCTTCTGCCTTCTGCCATGTGCGAACACAGCAAGAAAAAAAAAAAGCCTTCACCAGATGCCAGAGCCTTGATCTTGGACTTGCCAGTCTCCAGAACGATGAGAATCAAATTTCTGTTACCCTGTCTCTGGTATTTTGTTCTATATAGCAGCACAAAAAGGACTAAGACAGTCACTATTGGAAATTGGCGGGATGAGACTGCACCCAGCTTACTCCAGCAACCCTCCAGGATGGCTTAGGAAACTCCAGGAGACCCTTCTGCCTAGTAACGCATGACATCACAGGCATGCCTTATTCTCACTGGCTCTCTGCTTTCCCCCCCACCCCGTGCTATCTGAGCTAAGGTCCAGCCCAAGGAAGAGCTATTCTGGAAGGAAAAAGCAAAAACCCTTCCTGGGAAAAGGGAGGAAACTAGACAGGAAAGAAGAACAAATTTTACTTCTTGGCTTTTCCAAGGAATGGGTGGCCAGGCCTGTAAAGATGGTGAAAAGTACCCCTCGTCTTGTGTCTCACCTGGGTTCAAGCTCTCCATGTGAGTAAAACGAATAAGCACATCTACTCTAAGGCTGTTAAATAAGATAAGGAGGGTAGAGCTCTTGGCTCCATACCTAGCACACTGTTAGCACTCTATAAATAAATAACCCTTAGTACTATTCTCAGGGGAGCTAATAGTTAACTTTAGCATCTCAATTTCTTCCTCTTTATTAATCTTGAATGTCCCCTAGTTTTGGTAGAGTGCCAACTGTTGTCACTCCCTCTCTTTATTTCCTCCTTTGCACAGCCTCCTAAAATATTTAAAGAAAAAAAAAAGTAATTGGTCAAAGTCAGGAGCCAACCAGAACTAGCAGGAATCATGACACAGATGTTGCCAGGCAGAAGTGTTCACAGAAGGCTCCCAAACAGGCTCCAGTCTGGAATGGCCTGAGCACGCAGTGCTGGGCCCATTTTAGAAGCAGAACTGAACTAAATGAGAACCAGATGAGGATTTGACAAGAGGGCACCCTCTTTGAACACTGAGCCCACTGGGTCTACAACTCACTGGGTGACCTGAGCTCAGAGGGGTCCCCACCTCCCCTCCCCACAAATCACACCTCTAAAAGGGGCCAGATGGAAGAGTGAGCTCACACTTTGAAATAAGACTAGTCCAAATAAGACTAGTTCAAATTCTGCCCCCAGCACTCACCAGCTGTGATAACTTGGGTGAGTCTCTTACCAATAAGAGCCTCAATGTCCTCCTCTGTAACAAGAGATAAAGTACCTGACTCATAGGGTGACTGTGAGAATTAAGATTGAGTTTAGCCTTTAGTTATGTGTCTGGCAAATAATCATAGTAGTAACTAGCAGTGACTGAGGACTAGCAACAGGTCCACAGTGGATGGGAACTAGTATGGCTATGGTTGTTGTGGTTATTACTGAGACTCAGGGAGAGGCAGTGATTTATCCAAGGTCACATATGACAGTAGCAGAACCTGGACCAGAACCCAGTCCTCACAAGGGAGTCTTCCCTCCTCGCCATGGGATTCCCCGGGGTTTTCACAGGCTGCTGCTCTAACAGTCTGTATCTGGTTACCTCGTCCCCCAGAACACGGCTCCCCATGACATCTCTGAGTGTCTCTCCCAAACCCCTTTCTGCCTGGCAACAGCTGACGTCATCTATAGCTGTAAGTCCCTGTAGATCACAAATGACTTTTTGAAGACTGGGGGAGTCAGGGCATTGGGGTAGCTGTATTCTAGCCCCTTCTGGGAGGAAACACATGGGTGAGGCCATTTGGGGGCTGGGAGAGGGGTTCCCGGGTCCTCTGGCCTCCTGCTTGCAGGGAGCAGGGCACAGAGAGGAGCACAACCCACTTCAAGCCTTGGCCCCAGACTCTTAGCCAGAGCCCGTCCCTCCTTTCTTGCCCACCCCCAACATCTCTCCATCCCCTCTGTGAGGCAGCCCTCGGTCTCTCTCCACTCCACAGACACCTGCTTGCACAAACACCTAGGCCCACTCGCGGTGATTAGGAGGGAGCTCCTCTGTGAAGGGCTGCTCCTACCGGTCCGTTGGAGAAACTTTTTCCGTTGGGATCTAGAAATTTTCAAAATTCGATCCAAGGTTTCTAACCTAGGGCTCCTGGCTCAGCTTGGAGGACGGTTTCTGTGAAGCTCCTGATACTTTATAAAGCTCTAGGGAGAGAGCGTAGGGCTCACTTCTGATTTTCAGGAGGGGCCTGATGCAAAGAAGGTTCCAAACCCCTGCTCAAAGGGAACCGAAGCCCAGAGTGGGCCAGAGACTTGCTCACAATCACCCAAGAAGTGTTAGAGTCGAGCCCGAACACGTCCCTTCCGTGACTGCCCGGCAGTCCCCCTTCCCGCCTCCCGCCACCTGTGTGCAGTCCAGGGTCTGCGCGCTTCCCTGGTGCTCACACGTACCTCTCTGGGGCCCCTGGGCGCTGGGTCAGCATGGGCGTTTGCTCATGGTTGGAGATGAGGTCGCGCTGGTCATCCATGGCTCTGGCTCCTCCCCAAGGCTCCTGCTGCTGCTGCCGCTGCCTGTGTGTCTGGGACCCTGAACCCCAGGCTCACCTCTTGAAGTTGGTGCCGAGGAGGAATTTGATTCGTCCACAAGAGGACACTCCGCCCACCTGGCAGATGTGGAAGTGAAAGCCGCAAAGCTGGAAATACCCCACTTGGGCAAAGCGGCCTTTCACGGGGCAGGATGGGGAAGGGGCGCTCCCCACGCAGGCAGGTAGAAAAGCCAGCACCGTCCCATTGGCTGCCCAGGGCCCTCATCACTTGTTTCTGGGCAGACCTTTGGATTCATACGGCTCTTTAGATGTTGCAAGAAACAGGCAAATGTCCACTCCCTAGACAGGAACTCACATGGAAGCAGAGAATGCCTTTGTTTGTCTCCCCTTCTCATCCGTAAATGAGGGGGTGCAGAAAAGGGCTGTGTCCCCTCTGTGAGCTTGGACAAGTCCTCTTCTCTGGCCTCAGTTATGTCATCTCAAAAATGGGGAAGAAAGGTTGGAGTCGGGGTTCTCTCTGCTCCCTTCTGACTCTAGCATTGTAAGAACCTGGGAGTCCATGTTTTAAGGCTCTGGTAGTAACACCCGTGAGATCGTTTCCTAAGCCCTCCTTTGTCCGCACATTTTATATTTGACATGCTTTGTTTCCTGTAACGTTTACAGTGACCCTTTGAGGAGTGTTTTATCATCTCCGTTTACAGATAGGGACACTGACGCTTTGAGAGGCTATGTGCTTGCCCAGGGTCACACACCCAGGAAGTAGAGGGCCCATGATTTTAACCACTCTGCTTATCTGCCTTCTAGTGCTTGAACCGTGTGGCTCAAAGCCCGGAGGACGGAGGCCTCAGCAGGGAGGGCAGAGGAGGGCCTGGGAGAGGTGCGGGGGGAGATTTGACAGTGCGGGCAAGGTGTCGTGGCCTCATTCTGTGGCTTGTATATTGTGACGTAAGACATACATTTGGTCTCTGCCCCTGGTTCCTGACGACTAACACCCACAGAATCTCGGGAGTGAGAAGAGTGTCATTTTGTATGCTCATCAGATACTGGTGGCCGTAAGTGCCCAGATAACTTCAGGATGGGGGCCAGTTGCCAGAGGAACCAACCATGTGATGAAAAGGTTGGGACTTTCAGACCCTCACCCTTGACTCACCCCACCGAGATGTCCAGGGTGGGCAGAGGGGCTGGAGATTGACTTCAGTTGCCTGTGGCCAATGATTTAATCAATCCTGTCTATGTAATGGAACCTACATAAAAACCCCAAACGACAGGGTTTAGAGACCTTTCGGGTAAATGAGCACATCCGTGTGCCAGGAGTGGGGCACACCCCAACTCCACAGGGACAGAAGCTCCTGTGCTCAGAACCCTTCCCCATCCCCTGCCCTAGGTACCTCTGCATCTAGCTGTTCATCTGTACCCTTTACAATAAACCAGTGACAGTCAGTAAAGTGTTTCCCTGAGTTCTGTGACCCATTATCCCACTTTATCAAATATGAGGAGGGGGAGCGTCGGTCAGAAGTCCTGGAGGCCCAGGACTTGCAGCTGGCATCTGAGGTGGCGCAGCCTTGTGGGGCTGAGTCCCACACCTGCGAGGTCTGCCGCTAAGCCTAGGTAGACAGTCAGGATCGAACTGAATTGTAGGATGCTTGGTAAATAAAAAGAAAAAAGTTTGCACTAATGTGTTTTTTTTAAATAAACTTAGACTTGGTGGTTCTAAGATTCAATGAGTCTTGGATTTCAAGAGTGAAGGGATTATCAGTGGGAGCTAGACTATGGCCATACAAGGGCGAACAGAGTAGTGTAGTGGAAATTGGAGACTCACAGGAGGGGAGGTTGGGAAAGGTGAGGGATGACAAATTACCTACGGGGTACAATGTGCACTACTCGGGCAATGGGTACACCAAGAGCCCAGGCCCAGGTACCATAGATGGGTACACCAAGAGCCCAGGCTCCACCACTGTGCGATATATACATGTAATGGCATTCAACTTGTATCCCCTAAATCTATTAGGGGAGAGACAAGGGAGATATTAATAGCGTATGTAATTTGGAAGGAGAGAAAAGAACAGACATGGCCTTTGATGCAGCCAGACCTGAGTTCAAGTCCCAAGTCAGAAGCATCCTAGGTGTGTGGCCTCAGCCAGTTCCTGATGAGCCAGTTCCTCAATCACTCTGACTTTGTTTTCTCCTTTGTAATATAAGGGTGGTAGTACGAACCTCACAGGGCTATTAGATTAAATAAGCATTTAGGGGCTGGGTGCAGTAGCTCATGCCTGTAATCTTAGCACTTTGGGAGGCATGGCAGGAGGATCACTTGAGGCTAGGAGTTCGAGGTTGCAGTGAGCTATGATCGTACCACTGCACTCCAGCCTGGGCGACAGAATGACACCCTGTCTCTAAAACATAAATAAATAATAAATAAATAAGCATTTAACACATAGCTCATACCATAGAAGATGCTCAAGAAATGAAACTGTTACTCTTCAAATATTTACTGTTAAGATGTTTTCTGCACCTGTAATCCTAGCACTCTGGGAGGCAGAGGCAGGAGGATTGCTCAAGGTCAGGAGTTCAAAACCAGCCTAAGCAAGAGCGAGACCCTGTCTCTACTATACATAGAAAGAAATTAATTGGCCAACTAAAAATATATAGAAAAAATTAGCCGAGCGTGGTGGCGCATGCCTGTAGACCCAGCTACTCAGGAGGCAGAGGCAGTAGGATCACTTGAGCTCAGGAGTTTGAGGTTGCCGTGAGCTGACGCTATGGCACTCTAACCAGGGCAACAGAGTGAGACTCTGTCTCCAAAAAAAAAAAAAAGAGATAGAATCTCACTGTTATCCAGGCTGGAGTGCAGTGGTGTGATCATAGCTCACTGTAATCTTCACTCCTATGCACAGGCAATCCTCCTGCCTCAGCCTCCCGAGTAGCTGGTAGCTGGGACTACAGGCACATGCCACCATGGCCAGCTAATTTTTCTTTTTTTTTTTTTTTTGTAGCAATGGAGTCTGGTTATGTTGCCTAGGCTGGTCTTAAACTCCCGGCCTCAAACAATCCTCCTGCCTTGGCCTCCCAAAATGTTGGGATTATAGGCATGAGCCACCCACACCCAGCCTCAATTTTTTAAAAGATTTTAATGATGGCTAGAGTACACATTTACTTTTGCTTCCTCTCTTACTTTGCTTCTGGCACTAAAGGGACAATGTGGGTTTGTGTTTTGGGTTTTGTTTTTGTTTTGAGAAAGTCTTATTCCTTCACCTGGACTAGAGTGCTGTGGCGTCACCCTAGCTCACAGCAACCTCAAACTCCGAGGCTCAAGGGATCCTCCTCCCTGAGCCTCCTGAGCAGCTGGAACTATAGGCGCGCCCCACCACACCTGGCTAATTTTTTTATTTTTAGTGGAGACTGGGTCTCGGTCTTGCTCAGGCTGGTCTCAAACTTCTGAGCTCAAGCAATCCTCCTGCCTCAGCCTCCTAGAGTGCTAGGACTATAGGCATGAACCACCGTGCCCAGCCCACAGTGGCTTTTCTTTTTTTTTAAGTGTAAGTCTATAAGAACAAAGAGAACAGAAGCGAAAATGACCCATTTTAAATGCTGTAAAGCAGGTGGATTAGTGTTAAGTTCCTGAGCAGACCCCAAAAAGATAAATCCTAAAGCTGCAGCTAGAAGAGCTGAGAAGCCACCCAGTTATGTGACTCGGGAATTGGTGTGTCAGGTACCTGGGTGGTGAGTAAATGTGAGACTGAAAAGAGGTCTGTTTGGAAGTCTGTGTACGGAGCAGTTGGCACCCCGTGTCCTCCCGCTCCCGGAGTGCCCCCCCACCACCCAAGAGACGACTGGAAGTTTATTCCCCAGACACAGTAAAGCTGAACCTGAGAGTCCCAGTCCAGTCCCCGAATGTCACAGCCAGGGCCCCTCCAACCAGGCGACAGAGTGGAGGAACCGTCTCTGTGGAGCTTGCCCATGCCAGGAGGAAAGCCCTGAAGATTCGGACACTGGGGCTTTCCTGGTGGAGCAGCCCAGCCAGATAACCCAGTAGGACCCTACTCACGGGTCACAGCTCCTACTCGGTTTCCTAGACAATCGAGAATCACGGGCCAGGTGGGGTGGCTCACGCCTGTAATCCTAGCACTCTGGGAGGCCGAGACAGGTGGATCACTCAAGGTCAGGAGTTCGAAACCAGCCTGAGCAAGAGCGAGACCCTGTCTCTACTATAAATAGAAAGAAATTAATTGGCCAACTAAAAAAATATATATATATAAAATTAGCCAGGCGTGGTGGCTCATGCCTGTAGTGCCAGCTACTCTGGAGGCTGAGGCAGGAGGATTGCTTGAGCCCAGGAGTTTGAGGTTGCTGTGAGCTAGGCTGACGCCACGGCACTCACTCTAGCCTAGGCAACAGAGTGAGACTCTGTCTCAAAAAAAAAAAACAAAAAAGAGTTATGGGACATCTAAGGAAGCCTTCAACATAAAAGAGAGTGAGCAAAACAAATACCCAAATGGAAAAGCACCACAGAGGAAACAAATTACCATTAATAACCTTAGGGAGATAAAGGACAACACTGTACCCATGAAACAAGAATATAATGCTATTAATAGAAAGGTACAAATACTGTAAAAGAGCAAAAACAGCTCTTGAAGATTTAAAATATGAGGGCAGATATTAAACAATCAGTAGGCAAAAGATAAAGTGTTTTTCTTTAAAGCTCCCAGAAAGTAGACTACAAACAAAGATAAAGAAAAAAATCAGAGAGAAAAGAGAATTAAATACCAGTCCGAGAGGTCCAACAGCCAAAATATGAGAGTCCCAGAAATAGAGAACAGAGAAACTAGAGGGGAAGGAATCATCAGTGAAACAATTCAACACAATTCCCAGAACTCAAAGACATAAATTTCCAAACCAAAAGGGCCCAGTGAGTACCGAGGACAAGGTACGAAAATCATTTCACAGCAAGGCACATCGCCTAGTTTCAGAAAAATAAAGACAAAGAGAAGATTCTGCAGATTTTCAGAAAGAAAAAAACAAGACATACACAAAGGATCAGGAATCAGAATGACTCTAGACTTCTTAACGGTAGTGCTAGAAACCAGAAGATAATGGAGGAATGCCTCCAAAATTCTATGGAAAAATGATTTACACCCTAGAATCTTTACTGAGCTAAATTATCAAATAGGTATGAGGGTATCACTAAAGATTTTCAGACATCCTGTATCTCAAA